GATGACAGCAGGAATATTACTATAGATCCTGCCTACGTGAAAAGGCTAATAATAGATGTAATGAACAACTGAATGCCAGTAAATAGGACAACGTAGTTGAAATGGACAAATTCCTTAAAAAATATAACAGCCAAATTGACTCATGATGAAATAGAAAATCTGAATAGCTTTCTGATCTATTCATTTTCCAAAACATTATTTCCACAGATCAAACTCCAGATGGCTTCACTGGTAGAACCTATGAGATATCGAAGGGAATATTAACACCAGTCTTACACAAACTGTCTCGGAGAGAAGAGGAGAGGAGGAGAAACTTCTTAACCTGTCTAATGGAGTCAACACACAAAGGAAAAAATAAAAACTTAATGGAGAAACCTGGCAGATGCTACCTTCATCAAGTGATCAAAGCTAATGTCACCAATACTGGGACAAAGTGACATCAAGTGCCTGCGGATGTGACAGTGTCTCACTTCTGTGGCATTTTGCCATAAACGCTTTCTTCAAAGTGGTCAGGAAGCATCACAGAAACCCAAAGTGAGGGATATTCCACAAAATGACTGGCCTGTAGCCTTCAAACACGCAAATATCATGAAAAGGAAAGAAATACCGAGATACTGAAGAAACAATACAAATAAACATAACGAATTATCCAGGATTTTCTTTTACTATAAAGGATGATATTGGGACAACCACTGGAATTTGAGTAAGGTCTACAGATGAGGTAACAGCACTGTATCTATGTGAATTTTCTGATTTGGGTAAATGTTCTGGAATGTGGGAGAACATCTTTATTTTTAGGAAATAAACACTGAACTATTTAGGGGTGAAGAACTATCATGTCTGCAACTTAGTAAAACACAGTTCAGGATTAATATATATTTTTTACATACAAATCAAAATGTTTTATACATACATGTATATGTATATATAGAGAAAGAGAATAAGAATTATAAAGCATTTATGGCAGAAAGTCAATAATTAGGGAAGTTGGGTAAAGGGGATCCTCTTTACTATTCTTGCCACTTTCCTGTAACTCTGAAATTATATCAAAATAAAAAGCATTAGAAAAAACATGCTTCGGAACACTGCACCCCACCCTCCCTCCTGTATAGTTCTGATGCCCATTAGTTACGTTGATGGCTCTGACAAGTCCTGCATAAGGAAGCCTGTTTAGTAGTTAGCAGAAAATTCACTTTGTCAGACAAAAGTGTATCACCAGTATGTGTGATGCTGGAATGGAGCATCAACAGACTTGAAAATGTGTAGAATTTCATCTGCCCTGTGGCTCCATAGAAAGTCCTTGCTCAAGACCTCCATGCACCCGACCCATGGCACTCTGCAGTCCCTCACCCTCTCTGAGTGTCTTCAGCATGCACTTGAGGGTCAAGAGGCGGGGCCCAGCTGCCCAGCCAACCACTGTGTGCTGTACTTGGTGCTGCAGGGTCAGGACCCGGCCTCCCCTCTGCAACTCAAATGCCTTGAGATAAAGCTCTGCTGTGTTCTGGCCCAGTAGTGCTCTGGAAAACAGGCAAATCCTAGGAAGGAAGGTGATGGGTGGCAGGTTAAGGGGCAGCATCCATTCCTGCAGGCAAATAGGTGTGGGTGCATGAACCCACAGTCCAAACCCATCACAGGACTGCCTTTACAGGGCTGTCAGCCCACAGGACTGCATTGTAATAGGGTATTAAGAACAGGGGTTTGGGATCAACCAAACCTGGGTTTGAATCCCAGGACTGTGACTGTGTTGTCTTAGACAAGGACGTAACAGGCTCTGAGCCTCTGTTTCTTAGACAAGGACAAACAGAGGCTCTTAGCCTCTGTTTCTTCTTCTGTAATGTGGGAATAAGATGGAACTTTTGATATTGAGCTGATATTGCTAATGAGTTATCAACACACATTATTATGGTGAGGGCTGAGAAAAGAAACAGCCCCAAGAAGCCTGCTGTTAAACTTCCTGGAGAACTGGGGCAGCGGACATGGTCCTTACCATCTACATGGTATGCCCCTTACAGGACACCTTGGGACCTACTTCCCTTGAGTATTGGCACAGGAAACAAGACCAGTCATGCTTTCCTCAGTGTAATTCACACAGCTGTCTATTTCCCTTATAGCCTTTGCAAATAATGCCACCAGTGGGTTTATCTCTTTTTGCATTGGCTCCTAGGAAGCTCAGAGTAAAAAATCAGCCCAAATCTAGAAAAGGTACAGGACCTTGGAGCATGAATTTTGCTTACAGATGCCACTTCAAGCACCTTCCCATTTTCCCCATTTTTCTTTTCCCGTTGTCCTAATTTCCTCATATATTTTTTAAAAATCTGGAACAAGGGGGCAGAGCCAGGATGGCGGCGTGAGTAGAGCAGTGGAAATCTCCTCCCAAAAACACATAGATCTATGAAAATATAACAAAGAAAACTCTTCCTAAAATAGAGACCAGAGGACACAGGACAACATCCAGA